TGTTAAGCGTGGCTGCAGTCAACGAATTTCTCAAGAGGCATCTGCTGCAGCGAAGAGGGTGTCTCCATCAAAGTGGGCAGCATGGAGAGCTGAGGCAGCTAACTGGCAGCCACAGGCATGCTTTATTCAACCCAAACAGGTTTTTTTTTTGTTTCTTTTTAAAAAAAAAAACAAAAAAACGAGATTCCACATTAAAAAAAGATTAGACTTGCAATTCCCGTGAAAATGTAGAACTAGCAACAGGAAGCCGTATCCCAAATTAGCGGGACTGAGTGGCAGCTGCCTCCTCTGTTGCTCAGTCTACGCCTATGGACTTTGCCAAGGTGACTGCATTTGAGATCCCTGCCGGATCCCTGAAACATTCGAGTATGGGACCACTAATTCAGAGAGTGAAGCAGAAAATTTAGGATTCAAAGACACTGCCCATTCCATGGTTGGCACCAAGACGATCTTTATTTGGGTAAATATATTAGCCAGATTACACCCCAGTCTGCCGACAGGACAGGCTGTGTGTATCCTCCGTTAAATGGTAGCTAGACACAGTATGACCAATGCATAGTAAATTGTTCGAGTAGTTAATTATACTTTGCCACACAGTGGATGCATTAAAGTTGCACCTATGACTTAGAACTTACAATATTATCTGATTTGAACCTCATAATGAAGGCAGGAGTTAGATATTTTACAGATTCTGAAAGCCAAGTCAAGAGAAGTAAGGCAACTTGATGTTAAACAATTACTCAGTGGTAGTTAATTCCAAGCCAAGTCTTTGTGATTAAAAAAAAAAATCTATACTTTTGTCAATTTCACTGCATTTTTTAAAGATATATCTCTTCTTTCTACAAAATGAGAAAAATCTTAATTATTAAAATTAATTATTAAAATTAAAATATTATCAATGTTATTTGACTCTCAGAGTTATGCACTAAACTAATGATATTTTTATAACCTTTGAGATTCTATGGGGGAATATTGGCTCATAGTACAAATTTTTCAAGCTTAAAAATGCAGAACTTTAAGCAAAACCTTTTACCAATCTCCCAGGGAGCAGTTATCTTTCCTTATATTAGCCTGGCACCAGTTGTAATATAGACCCAAATTAACACTGGCTCAAACACATCAGAAATGTATTTCTCTTCATATAATAGTCTAGGAATGCATCTACAGCTGGTATTGTGGTCCAAGTGGTCAGGTCCCGGGCTCTTTTAATCCTTTCCCACTGCCCTCGAGTGATGCTCTCATTCCTGTAGCATAAGATGGCTTGCCATCACTTCTACAATCCAGGCAGAGGAGGGAGAGGGAAGAAGGAAAACTTCCTCTTCCCTTGAAGGATATGATCCAAAGTAGCATTCATCATTTTCACTTATCTCATTAAGAGGCACGCTCAGATAGGCACACCTAGGTGTAAGGGATTCCATGGAACGTAGTCATTAGCTAGGGGGACACGTGCCTAGCTAAATTATTTTCAGGGAAAGAGGAAGAAACCAATACCATGAAACAAATATGCATCTCAAGCACATCCTTTGAAACATACATAAGGTACCATCAAACTGAGTTTCTCCCTTCTGAGGTGGACACACCTCTTGTCTCTTACACCCTGACTTTGCCTGTCCTTCCATTCTTGTTTCACTGTCAATGTCCTCAACCTCTTGAGAAGTCCTCCCTAGATTAGATCTCATGTTCATACTTACCTTAAATTTCTTGCCATTCTTTTTTCAGTGTTTCCCTCTCCCAACTCTGTCTACTGTCCAGTATTGCTCTCACTTGGGAATTACTATTCCCCTATGTTCAACAGCTGTCAATCTTCCTCCAGATGAATTCAAAATACAAATTTCTAATACAGCTATGTGGAGGTAGGCTAATAATCTTAGGTGTTTTTTTTTAAATATTCATTGGTGTACTATTTTGACTGAAAAGGCAAGACAGTATGGTTACATTTCTTGATTAGCATCAGATACATGGATGCATTTAAGCACTCAGTGATAGCAGCCATCCTCATATTTTAATAGACTCACTGAGCATCCATCAGGCAGGCACAACTGCAATGGTCATCATCAACAATTAACACTCACATTGCAAACTGATCTGTAGGATCAGTGCAGTTCTGATCAAAATCTCAGCTGTCTTTGTAGAAATGGACTAGCTGATATTAAAATTCATATGGAAATGCAATGGACCTGGAATGGCCAAGACAAAATGAAAAAGAAGAGCAAAGCTGGAGGAAAACTACTACCTGATGTCAAGTGTCATTATCAAGCCACAGTAATCAAGGCAGCATGGTATCAAAATAGACACATACATCACTGGAACTGAACAGAGAACCCAGAAATAGACCCACACACATATGGACAACTGATTTTTAACAAAAGTGTAAAGGCAATTGGGTGGAAAAAGGATAGTCTTTCAATAAGTGGTGCTTAAATATATGCAGGAAAATGAACTTTGATCAATACCTCACATCATATAAAAAATTAATTCAAAATGGATTATAGACCTACCTGATTAAAAGCACACAATTCATAAAAGAACAAACCACCTTCAACTTCATCAAAATTAAAATTTTTCTGCTCCTCAAAAGACACTGTTATAAGAATGAAGAGATAAGATGGACTGAAAGAAAGAAAACATTTGCAAATTATGTATCTGGTAAAGCGCTTATACCCGAAATGTATGAAGAATCCTCAAAACCCAGTAACAACCCCATTTAAAAGGCAGGGGGGAGGTTAAAAAAAGATTTGAACAGACAGATCACCAAAGAAAACATGAAGATGCATTTGTTTAAAATCTTTTCAAAGCTTTATTGAAACCTCTATGTCAAGGTGACGGTAATTCAGTGTTTTGAAAACAATAACAAAAAAAGGGTATCCCAGATTCAGATTTACCAAATAAATACTGGACACCAGGGAACTCATTCCTCGGTCTCCCAGCCAGAGATGGTAAATTCGCTTGTGAAAAATTGCTCAACACCACTAGACATTAGGGAAATGCAAATTAGACACATAATGTGATAGCATCACAAACTGATCAGAATGGTTAGAACTGAAAAGACTGACCATGCCTAGTGTTAGGATGTGGAGTGACTGCTAGTAGGAATGGGAAATGGTGCAACCACTTTGGAAATGGTCAATTTCTTAAGGAATTAAGCATACACCTACCGTATGACCCAGTCATTCCACACTTAAAGATATTTTTTCCAAAGGAAATAAAAGCTTATGTCCATCTAAAGACTTGTACTTAAGTGTTCATAGCAAGCTTTATTTATTTTTTTGGCAAGCTTTATTCATAATAACCCCAAACTGCAAACAACTCAAATGTCCATCAACAGATGAGTACCTAAACAAATGGCAGTATATCCATCCAATGAAAAGTACAAAGCAATAAAAAGAATGAGCTATTGATATGTGCAACAACTTTGATGAGTTTCAAAATAATTATGCTGAGTTGAAACAGCCAGACAAAAAGAGCACGTATGATGAATCCATTTGCATAAAACTCCACAAAATGCAAACGAATTCATAGTGACAGAAATCAGGTCAGTGGTTGCCTGGGGGGGAGTTGTGGGGAGGGTCTGACTACAGAGGGACAACAGGAAGAACTCTTTTGGAGGC